AGTGCGAGACAACATGTTAGCAGCATTAACGTGTGATTGTGAAGCTAAATTTGAAGCGGGATGTTGAGTCTTGAGTGCACCATGGGCACAGCGACATCGTGTTCCGGACGGGACAAATCAACAGGTTGGGCAACAATTGGTCGATTGATTTCGAAGATGGCGCACAGAATATACGTTATATAGAGCATGTTCTACATCATACATAGCATGCCGAGCCAGGCACCAGTTACAGGAAGTTCCAGACAAGCACCAAGGCCAGTGAATGGCATAAAAAGAGCACAGGCTGCAGCATAGCCATAAGCCATTTTATAGAAAGAACTAGGCTATGACTAGGCACAAGACGCTTATTGGAACAGAGGTTTGCAAGGCAATAATTCAGGCCACCATTGCTAATCAAGGAGAAAATTTGTTGCCAGTGTACCCTGAAATGATGTGATAACAACTAACGTGATACACCATGCCTGACTTGTGGCTGGAAGTTGTAAGCTCGGTGCTTGGGGCTAGTGGGGTTCCTCTAGCTTTCAGAATCCTGCATGAAAAAAGGTAAAAGAAAGTGAAGGTACAATAATAGTAAGGTGATGGAAGCCTCTTGGTTTCGCGAACGAATTTCATGATTAAATTCATGGCATGGGAACGTTGCTACAGAAATACAGAAAAGTTCAGCCATCCTTTAAAGAAAGACCTCTCTAGTTAATCTCATCTTGCCAACAGCACCAATGACCATGCTGTTTGTATGGGAGAATAGCCTTAGTACAGTGCTGCCCAATGAAATCCTGAAATCCAGTCGTGTCACTAAAGTACGCGCCAGGCGTTGCATGACCCTAGACCTGCGAACACTGGGCTGCGAAATGGTGCGAGGCGCAAACTTGAGTGACGTGGCCGGATTTCATTGAGCAGGACTGTACATTCAAGCCACCTGCTATTCCTATTGTAGTGTAAGGTTCTTATTTTACAGGAGCATTCCCATCAGAAAGGCTCTATCTCTGGTTGTACTCAAAAGAATAGCCCCAGCCGTCGATAGACGCCTTGGCGCGATACAATCAGGTTTCAGAAGAGGCAGGAGCACGGCAGACGTCGTATGGACACAGCGTTGGATGAGTGCTAAGACACAGAGGCATCCATTCACCTACCACATGCTGGGAATCGACATGAGTCGTGCTTTTGACACTATCAACAGGCAGCGGCTATTGGAAGTGATGGATGGAGTAGTTGGCCCAGACGAACGCAAACTCTTGCGACTGCTCCTGGAGAGAACAACCCTCGTGGTCCGTGTTGGACAGGCGACCTCAGAGTCGTTCAGTAACACAGTTGGAACACCACAGGGCGATGGCCTAAGCCCAGTCCTGTTCACCTGTTATCTCGAGGCGGCCCTGAGGGATGTCCTGTCCCATCTGCCACCCCGTCCAGAAAGCGATAGACTACTACCCCATTAGAGCAGGTATGCTGACGATGCCAACTACTACAGCACAAGTCTAGACTGGTTACGAGCTGCACTGCCGATCATTGCGAAGGTCCTTGAATCCTGGTCGCTGTACGTAAACACCCAGAAGACGGAATGGGTCACAGTATCGTCAACAACAGAAAATTAGAAAACAGTAAAGCAGCTGGGATCACTCATGGCAACTAACGAAGACATCCAAAGGCGAAAGCAGCGGGCAACGATCGCCTTCAAGAACATGTACACTCTGTGGCTGCGGAGGGAGCATGTCTCAGAAGCTCGCAGAGTTCGCCTCTACAACGCATATGTTCTGCCGACCCTATTGTACAATTGCTGTACGTGGGGATCAACAAAGGCAGTCAGTGACAAGCTGGACGTGTTCCACAGGCAACAGCTTCGCTCGCTACTGGGCATACATTACCCCAATCGTATCACAGACATCGAGTTATACCGGAGATGTCAGAGCCAGCCCATCTCCGAGGAAGTCCACAGACGAAGAATGACCATGCTGGGACATGTCCTACGCCTACCCGAAGACACACCACCGCAACAAGCCATGGCACCCTACTTCAATCCACCGAACACAGCCAAACCAGGAAGACCTCTGACTACTTTAGTCACCCAGATCCAGCAAGACTGCGTCCACAGACAAACGCCACTCAAGAGGAGCCCGCATCTGCAGAGCCCCCGGCAGAAGGCATCCGACAGGCAAGTGTGGAAGGCCTTCGTAAAAAACGCACAGTGAACACTGACGAAACAGAAGTTGCCCATCCTTCTCAGTGCTATTTGCTTATTGTCGATTTGTAAAACCGTACCTTGCAGTCCATGTCTTCCCTTGTCATCATCATAATAGTATAGTTTTGTCTCTCTCCTTCTATTGCTCAGGAACACAGAGGCGGAAAGAGGCTGGTCCGCAAGTACATGTACGCGAAACTGTTCATAATAATAATAATAATAATAATAATAATTAGTGCAATTAGGAGTATAATCGATGCAGACATGGCCAAACAACAACGAGTTCATGGAATTTTTAAGGATTTTTATGTTATTCAAAATCGATTTTCGTGTTCCGCTCATCAGTGAAAAGTATCGGAACTGAGGGTACTGTGTACAAAAATAGAACATTTTATAACAGCATAATTAATTAAAAGTGTGAACAACAAAGGAAGTGCTACAGCATTACATAATAGGTGTCAAACATAGTGCTAACGTATATAACTGAGTGCAGCCACAAAGCAAGAGGTGATACAGTGCAACATGACACAACATTTACATCTGATAATCAGCTACGAGAACAACTTTAGTGCGACTACATGCTTCTTTTGTTTACAAAGAACAGGATTATGCACACGAATACATACAGCTTCCAGAACCTTGGAAATGGGTGTGCAGGAGCAGAGAACCCAGCAACGGTGACGCGGAGCAGCGGCCAAACGACTTGTGATGCTGGTGGAGATGATGGAGCCATGTTGGAGGCTGATAAGGAGTGCAGTGAGACTGAGCATCAAACGGATGATGAGGAAGTGACTGATGATGATGATGGTGGTGATGAGGACGATGATGATGAAGATGAGACGGAGGACGAGGATAAGGCGGAGGAGATCGAAGGAAAGGAGCGGGATGAGACGGAAGAGAGCGACGTGAGCAAAAAGTCAGCTGTATTTTGTCACTTGTTATCACGTCCAGATTGTCGTAGTGTGTACGATGATTCTCACTTTTCTGTTTTGTGCCGTGCAAGTTATGTTAAGCAGTTGAAGGTTCTGGAAGCTGTATGTATTCGTGTGCATAATCCTGTTCTTTGTAAACAAAAGAAGCATGTAGTCGCACTAAAGTTGTTCTCGTAGCTGGTTATCAGATGTAAATGTTGTGTCATGTTGCACTGTATCACCTCTTGCTTTGTGGCTGCACTCAGTTATATACGTTAGCACTATGTTTGACACCTATTATGTAATGCTGTAGCACTTCCTTTGTTGTTCACACTTTTAATTAATTATGCTGTTATAAAATGTTCTATTTTTGTACACAGTACCCTCAGTTCCGATACTTTTCACTGATGAGCGGAACACGAAAATCGATTTTGAATAACATAAAAATCCTTAAAAATTCCATGAACTCGTTGTTGTTTGGCCATGTCTGCATCGATTATACTCCTAATTGCACTAATAAAATTGCTTTCTCCACGCCGACTCTTTAAATAATAATAATAATAATAATAATTCCCCACAGGGCCCAAGGTCTTCTTGCATGGTGCCCAAGGTATTCATTGAGTTCATGGAACTTCATTCGAAATGAACTGGAAAAGTGCGAAGGGTCTCTTATTCAGGGAGCACATTAAAGCAGTCAGCTCCAAGAAATGAATTCGATTCGTGCATTCAATTATAATGATGTTCACACCTATGCAATAACTACTGTCGTGGACATGGAAATCCGGTCGCACATCTAGCGGCCCCAGGGCGCTGGCCATGCAGCCGTGGATAAGCGGCACACACATGCATTTATGCGCTGCAGCGTGCTGGTCGCATCGGATCAACATGTGCACTGCACGCAGCGTTCTGTACGCGCTGAGGGCGCTGTCCCGGTCAATCGACTGGATTTCCATGTCCGCTACAGTAGGTATCACACTTCATCTTAGAGGTGAGACCTCACTATACATATAGCAATAAAAACTGCTTTATGGCAGTTTTCTAAAAACGGTTATTGTGTTCTAGTCCATGGACTCCGTCTAAAAGTAAGAAATTAACGGAATGTGATAGCTGAAAATTAAAATTTCACACAAAACCTCACAATAATCACAACACTTGAAATGCTGCTTTCAACTTTAACTTGCACTGCACCAACAATTGGCAACATGCATGCATAGGAAAGAAGATCACGAGGTGAAAAGGTCTTCTACATGTAGCTTTTAATTCTGTGTGTGATTATTGTGAGGTTTTGTGTGAAATTTTAATTTTCAGCTATCACATTCCGTTAATTTCTTACTTTTTAGACGGGGTCCATGGACTAGAACACAATAACCTTTTTTAGAAAACTGCCATAAAGCAGTTTTTATTGCTATAATTTCTTTTGTTTTTTTCTGTCACCAATCAATGGAATGCCCTATATCAATATGTAAATGATGGCTTTCAAATCATATCAAGAGGTTTATGTACTCTTGATCATATCAATACCGTATTATACCAAGAGTACATAATGGGGGTTATTTTATCCTGATTATACGCATTGATGTGCAAGCCTTTTCTTGCAGAAAATGGCACTAGCATAATGCATGTTCTTCTGCGGGGAAACATGTGAGTAGTCAGGTGGTGATACTTTTTTTATACGGAGGCCATTCTGTGCTTGTTGCTGTTGCAGAATTTCATGACTCTGCCCTAAATTTGTCTTGCCTTTCAGATATTTCAGATTTCCCCACCCTCAATCAGATTTATTTAAGAAATGTAGCCATGCGCCAGGTGCGTGTCGCAGATGTTTTTGTTGATTCTGTGTTTATAATGGTTTATAATCATGGGTTATCGTGATAAGGTCATCCAGCATCATATAGCACTGAAATCGTAATCCCGTTGATGTCGATACAACTCTTGGAAGTAGTTCAATGACTTCAAACTGTTAGTCCACGATTTTCTAAAACACAGCAAAGGAGGAACAATAAACATGTATTAAAATGTAAACAAATACATTGCTGAGTCCGACACCTCGTTCTAACAACTACACTGATCCTGAGGATAAAAGGGTCAAGGCTATGGTTGGAGGTACTGATACTGAGAGATAAACAAGGCACTCCATGATAATAAAATCTTACACATCTTTTGGTGAGTATGAATGATATCCAGTCGAACCTCTTTAGGACGAACACCAAGGACGAACACCATTCTGTGAGTTTGTCTTAACCTTTTTTATAACCAGTGAATACAATTATTTCTCCAATAGACATACGAATAGATTTCTTCTACAGCAAAAGATTCTAAGCCACACCGACTCATTGACTCGTCTCGTATGAAACAAAAGAGTCACTAGAGAGGTTCTGCAAAACGAAAATGCGTACAAACTTTCGCTCTACATCATGAAGTGCGAAACTTCGCAACTTTGGACGCGAAACTTGCAGGGAACGCGAAATGAACTGTTGTAGGAAATTTCGTGAGATCGGGTCATGGCGTACGTGCACTTGGCCCGCGCAAACTACGAAAATGTGCAGAACGCAAAGTTCGTGCAAAAATTCGTACACACTTTTGCAAGGACTGTCGCGAAACTTCGTTCGAATTTTCGTTTTGCAGAACCTCTCCAGTGAACCTTTCTTTAGCAACATGACGGCAACTGAAACAGCAACAGAGAAAGTACGATACATGTACTGCACATTCTTGAAGGTACTACAGGTACTACCAAGAGTACGGGGGGTTATGTACTCTTGGTACTACAAACAGATTGCAGATCGTAATTCTTGCTTTGGCGGCACGAAACTTTATTTGGGGCAGTGCAATCTCGGCAGTACTCACTCAAACAGCCCAGATGCAGACTCGAGTAAACAAATGCAATCATACAAGTACGAGATTTTCACGAGACGACACTGCACCCATTGGCTTGTTTCGTATGAAGCAAACAAGTTACTGAACCTCTCCACAATGGAGATTTTCCCTGATATGCGAATTTATTTGGCAAACTCGGTCAATGAGTCCTTGAACCTTTCCCTCCAGATTGGGAACTGCCAACGATAGTATGCCACTGACCAGTGCCTTACTTGTAACGTACTAATGTGCAATGAATATGAGTATTTTGACAACACATCTACCATAAGCCTTACCGTCGAGAAGGGGAACTCGCGTTCTTCGCACACTGTAGGCAAGGGCAAAGAGATAAAAATGGATCTAAATCCGAATAAAATCAGCACACGTTTCCGTAAATGAAAGGGTGAGCATAAGCAAATGAATCGAAGGAAACTGGTCAACTCAGAGATCACCTGTCATTGAGTATTCCGTAAAAGGAGGCCTCGGCAGCGGAAAAGCTAAATTTAGAAAGGAGATCCTGTCAGCTTTTCCATTATTTATTGCATTCCGCCAAAAATCAGCACACTTTTCGTAAATGAAAGAGTCAACACAAGCAAATGAATCAAAGGGAACTGGTCACCTCACCTGTCATTGAGTAATATTCCGCGAAAGGAGGTCTCAGCAGCACCGAAACGAAATAAGCCAGGCCAGGAGACGAAATATCCGAAACAGCTCATGCAAGAAGCAGTTCCAAAGAAGGAAGTTCCTCGTGCATGCACATCCGAAAAGGCAACAACAAAAAGTCTGCAATGCACACGCATGCGAGGTATATTATGCTCGGCAGGCCGCGAAAGAGAGCCCGTTACCTGGACCCCTACTCGCGCGGGTAGAGCGAAACTGAGCACCCTGGGATGCGAGCAGCTTTTTAGTACTCCCGGGTCCAAAATCTCACCACCAGGCCGGGATGATCAAAACGTCTGCCGGGTCTGCAGCCTACAAACGTGGATCTGCCGACACTGTGCTGTCGACGACATGTCCGGCAAGGCACCTCCTTGCGTGAAAGCAAGGAACTTTTTTTTAGAAAGGAAGCTTCTTCTCCAAAATTTAAAAATTTTGAAAATTATTCCTTCTGAAAATATCATCGCGTTCTTGACCTCGAAGCTGACTGCTGAATGCGATTAGGAAAGAAGATTCCTGAAGATACACCAGACTGATTCTGGCAAGCCGTCTGTCGTCTAGATATGCAGTTGTTCGTCATGCATGGTCAGCAATCTTCCTCGTTCGTCCTTTCGTTTTCCTGACCACGATGATGACAAGCAGCTCTCATGCTCAGGTTAGTGCTGTACTTGTATGTCTGGGCACACAACACATCTGAGATTCACCCACTGACGTTATCGAACTGAAGAATGCAGCAAGGGTTCCTCGGATTCTCTTGATTTCGGAACAAATTTCCTTCACTTTCACCCTCTCAGTCTCTTCCCCATGCCCTCCATGCATGCACAATGCAGCTTGCATTTCAATTGCTGTTTTTTATACTTTGACAGTGCCTCTGCTACACTTTCATATAGAGTTAGGTCCTGTAAATAGGATCGAACATTGTTGGTGGTGGTGTGTGTGGGGGGGGGGGGGGGGTACGTTTGCAGCCAGGATGTAGGAATGACACTTCTGCACAGCAGGTGGCAATAGTCAAAACTGGTCACTCTACAAATCCCATACCTGCCAACCTTTGCAAACCTGAGATCCAATGACATACCTAGGCATGAAAATGTATACAAAAGAAGCTCGCGGTGAGGCATGGAACTAGTGCACTTTTGGGTGCCTATTACCGCCCTCGATATCGGGACGGTCCCGGCCAAATCGGGATGGTTGTCAGGTATGAAATCCCAACCGAGAAAACCATTTAATTAAAAGATAAACTCGGCCAGGACATAGCGACTTTCTGTTTGCCGGGGGGGGGGGGGGAGGGTCATCGTCCGCAATATTGGTAGAGTTACGATTACATTGTATATGTAGATACATGTGCATCAGGGATTCATAGCACCTGGGGAGACGACATGAGACCTAAGTACCCAAAACGTTGTGAGTTGTGACCCCGGATGGGGTAGTTCTACGTGATCTGTGTTTCTATAGACCTTATTCGATAACGTGATTTTTGGACTCGCCTCCAGGGATTTGTTGTAAGCTGGGGCACGCGTACGTGAAACGAGTGGCAAGAAAGGCCCAGTTCGTACAAGGGAGTAGTAAAATACCGGTATTTTTCTACTCCTATGTTCCCACGCCGAGTCCACTGTGCACTGAGTGCAGGTCTCTTGCCGCTCCCTGGTTCCCGGGACCCTGGTTCACGTGATTGTGACGTTTATTGAATAAGGTTTACATGTATATGCGGGCATGCATAAATCAACCCTTCCACAAGGACGGCTCAAACAGGCAGCCAAGGAGTGAAAATTTCACTCCTGGGGCTAGGAGTGAAACGAAGGCCTCAATTTGCCAGATGAACCTTCTCCATCGAAACGAACGAAGGTGTCGAATAATTCTTTTACCAGTTCACAGTTGCCGTTCACGCGCACTCCCCGGGGTGGGGGGGGGGGGCCTACTATGCACTTGTAGTGATACTTACCGTAAGCCAAGTGGAACACGACTAGTTGACTGCACAGACTACAGTACAGTATACATGCACATGTATACAGTGAAGATCAGTGCGTGCATGCCTGCCATAATCGTATGTTGACCTTCGTTCGAATTGAAAAGAGAGGGTCGTTTCGAAAAAGAAAAAAAGCTCGATGGAAGTATGATGCTGCTGACAATTCAAGACTCACTGAAGTCGCCTTTCTGGAATGGATCATGCACTCTAGGTTCATCCAATTGGATATGGACTCAAATCATTGTTACACCATTATTGTTTGGTTAGTTATTGTACATCCCATAGCATGTACAATGAACCTTGTGAATAATCTACCTCGGGTTTACAAAACAACTCGCAAATAACGACACAATCTTCAGATCTAGTGAACATTTGATTGCATACTTCCAACCTCACGAGTAACAACAATGCGAATAGCGACACTTTTCTCATTCACAATCGAGGGTCAGTATTCCCCAGGTTGACTGCAATTGCCAATCAAACAGGAGGGGCGAAAGTCGACCACGGCTGAAAAGGCATAAAGAAAAATTAATGTATATCATGAGCTAGATGGCTGAAGGAGGAAGTAGGTTTTCTGAGAAAGCAAGAAACAGAGGTGAATGAAGCACCAGGTCTGTCCATGCAGTGGATAGAATTATTGCATTGAAAGACAGGCTCTTTACATCAGCTTGCTACTATTATACCTACATTTGCTTTCTGCCTTTTTCATGCAGGATTCTGAAAGCTGGAGCAGCTCTGCTTACCTCGACCACTGAACTTACAACTAACTTCCAACCAAGTACAAGGCAATATTATGATGAATCAAGCACGCTTGCCATCATGTCATCATTGCAAAGTACATCGACAACATAGATTTGGTGCCGACTATGTATGATGTAGAGTGTGCTCTATGTATCTATACTACTGATTGGCCTACATTGTACTTATGTGGGCTGAGAGTAATCGATTGTGCTATATGGCAGTTTACTTGTATGTCATAGATGTTAACATTGCACACAGCTTCTGAAATGCTTTCTGTTGCACTGGCCTACTGCGGCCCACTGCAAATAGATTGTAGTGGCATGGGCCATGCCATAATTATAGTAGTATACCGGTACTACACCAACAATTTCACTGGTGCACTGTACTTACTGGTACGAGTAGATCTACATCATGCACAGCCTTGTCACTGCTTTTCTCATTTTTTATTAATTTACTGTACTGTACACATTTTGGCACAGCTCTTCCACAAAGAGTTACTAGTATTTTCTTCTGCATACCTACTGTATACAGTGACCTGACTGGTAACATCTATGGCTGTGAAATCACAAATTTCTGGGTTGACAGCCTCGAACCTATACGATTTGTTTCTAAGAACGTGCTATAAGAAATTTTCTATTGAAGTATTCTACTGTAGCTCGCAGGACATGGAGTGCAATTACGTAAAGTTTGGAACACCACTCTTCTGTGATTTGGATGTCAAATTATGAAATTCAGTGTGTGAGGTAAACCCATGCATGGCATACACTGCTATAGTATGACTCGGGGTAAAGTGTTCCAACGCATACTCATTATAGTGAATAGTTGTGTGACCAACGTTGTTGCTGCTGGATAAATAGTACATATTCTGAGATAACTGAAGCTACACAGCCATCTAATGTTCAGACATGCATCGAAGGGGCCGTAACGAGATCTGCAAGGCATGATTCTATACCTGTATTTGATGCTCTCTAGCCTAGGATATTCACCTGCCTCATTTTCTCTGTGCTGCATTGATGAGTCCATTAGTAACTAAAGGACGAAACAGCATGCTGTCTGCAGATTGGTAATTGTGTAAAGACAGACGTGTATGTAGTGGTAAAGCTCAGATACATGTGCAACATAACAATCCCGGTGTTTGACAACAGCACAAACCTACACCGCAATTCTTAATTTTGGGCTGTGGTGTTCTTAGTATTCCAGGTTGGATGTTCTGTAGGCTTCCACGTTCTTGGGCGCACGACTTTACTGTGCCGAAGAATATTTTCAGCCAATGAACCCAGAGCTTGGTGGCAGATGAGTGCCATGGAACAGCCTTTTGCATGTGGCTTTCACTACATGCACATGTATAACGTTCAATTGATGCGGAAAAATCAGACGAGGACTTTTGCAGTTATGAGCAAGGTCCCCACGAATGGTCATGTCACTTCACAGAATACATGAACTGATAGAGTAGACCTCGGTCCCCTCAGAGAACGCTTGGGGAAGTCGGGTTCAACCATAGATTTATACTTAACAGAGAACGCTTGGGGAAGTAGGTTTCAACCATAGATTTATACTTAATATTCTTTACAACAAGGATCGATGTGTTCCTTCGGATGCCCTTTATCGACTTTCACACACTTCTCCTCTCTCCTTTCGTCATAAGCACCATCTCTGTACACTGGTTCATAAAATATTTCTTCATAAAACCCCTTCACACATAATGAAGTACAATTGGTTTTCGACAAGCTCAACCCGTAACGCGCTTATCCTGCCTCTTGTTAAGTCAGCCCGGTATCTAAAGCCCCCCTTGTTTTCCGGTTATTCTCATTGGTTAACTGGGGACATGTCCAAAACCATACTAAGTACTTGAGCTGCTCATGAGCCCCACAATTATCAGGCCCGCCGGTCTGGTTGGTCAGGTTATCACCAGACCAACTTGTTGGCCACCAACAAACGTTTCCTACCGTGGAGGACGTGTGTACCCGCCATGAAACTACCGGACCAATCAAAAACTGCTTCCGGCGGTACTGATTATAGTACAGGTTTAAGTTAAAAAGCGGCTCCATTTTGTCATACATTAAACCAACTCTGTCATTGCTATGCTACTCAAAAAGAGTAGTGATGTTTATTCACAAATGAATCACAATGCTATCAGAGAAATTCGATATTCTCCAATTTTAGGGGCACTGCAATACTATCCAAAATTAATGCTGCATGGTCATTGTTATGAAGCAGTCACCTCAGTACAGCAATTAAACAGGCTGATTATGTGAACGAGATTCACGGCAAATCTTCTTCCATCAGTGCTGTTCAGTCTTGAGTGGTCCACTGAGACAGGAAAACAACCTGTTCGGTCCTTCCATACGAGAAACAGAAATTGAACATGTTCCAGGGTGGAGGTGGCAAGTATCGGCAATGTAATGC